GTCAAGTCAAATGGTTTTCTTAGATTCACACGACTGCCCCAGGTTTCGAAGTGGAGAGTCACTTGATGCTTTGCCTACTATCTGAATTTTTAGTTGAGTAGTTATAAGCATTAAGGGAGATGAGCCAGGCCATTTGCGTGGTCAACCCCCAAACAAGGTGTGAAGTAAAAAGTAAGACCATCTCCATGATGTAACACATAGAATGTGGCATCACACGTTACATTTTTCATCCCATTCTATATCCTGTTGTGCAAAAAACGTCGACAACTTGAAATCTGTTTACTAATTCAATAAACACTGATTAGTAAAAATATACACTGAATATTGGATAATTCTGCGACTGTGGTCTCTTCCTTACATTTTGTACAACTTAGAAATATTCTGCTTTAAAAATACGACTTGATGGGTAGATGGTAATGTAAATATTCTGGAAGGATGAGATCAAATGGGCTGAAGGGCTTTCTTCATCCAAACCAATCTGGTGACCTTTTGATCGACCTACATACCAGCTCAATAGTATCTTCAAAGTAACTTATTGTTTGAAGTGTTTTGGCACTTAAGGCACTATATCAAATACAATTAATATCTGGTGATGTAAGGGATAGGAATCTGTCATTAATATACTTTCTCTAACTTTTCTACTTCTTTGAACTACTTTTTCTACTACTTTGCTTCAGTCTGTTAAGGGCACAAACTAAGGGCGTTTGCTCACATTACTAACTAATCAACAACAATGGAAACGTTCATTTCTAATAATGGCATAATGTAATACATAATGTGATAATGCAATGGTTCATCGCTAGTCGTGACCCCGATATAATGCCCCCCAAAAATGTTTAAAAGCAGTTTAATATTTAATGTTTAATATTTTAATATTTAATATTTTAATGTTTAATATGGTAAATATTAAGCCATCTGAAATTAGAATGCCTTTATTTTAAACTCTTTATCATAGTTCAAAGATATTCTTGAAGCGTAATAATAATACTTGCATTTGACAAAGCACATTATCACGTCATTGAAACATCTCAAAGCGCATCACAGGGTATGTTGTAAAGTGGATTGACTGTGTATTAAAGAAGGACTTAATACACTGGCATCAAAGATTTCCTGAGTACACTTACCTGATCAATACCTACATGATAAAACGTCAAGAGCGAAGCAACCTTGATCAAAGGTATTGCATCAAACTACACAACATTTGCTGCATTTTTATATTCAAACCAGTTGAATTTCTCCTTTCATGTGGAGACTTGTAATCAATTAAGTCTGCCCAGAAAAGCTCAATAATTTCCTTCACTTGATTTCCAGATTTAATAAAGATCATGTACTCGTGTGGACTATGCCAAATGCCAAAAACTTTAGACATAAAATCTGTTTCATGTGATCATATTCATCTCCAATTAAACAGTGCTGCTCCTCTTTGTAAACAGGTTGCGTTGCTTATGACTTGCTAATAAAATGCAGGTCAGAGGGAGATGGATTTTGCAATGGTGGGAACTGGGGGCTTTCCTGCACCAAACCAAGATAAATATATATCACCAGTTACAGGGCACCAAATCCATTGGAAGCGTGAAATTGTATCAGGTAATATTTCCATAGCTTGATCACGTTGTTTTTCTGAGTTATGTGCTGCACTCTATTTGTTTTGCATCCTGATTTGTGTTTATTCCTATTTAGTTTGGGCATTTAGCTTTGCATCCAGTTTATACATTCACTGGGTTCAAGCTACTCAGAAATCTACACACACAGGTACACAGCACTGGATTTATTTCCAACCTTGTACTTTGGACATTTGTTTTATCCCCATTTATAGCTTAATTGCTCCAGAGATACCAGGCTTACAGGACAGATTTTCATCTACGGAAAAAGAGAGCAACCCATTTCTCTCGTGTTTGAAGCAATTTTTGAAGCAGGAAAGCAAAAATTTTCAACTGTGGTCAAGAAATAAAACAAAACTTGCAATCCTACGGTGCTCTTCACATAGAATAATATTTCGGAGTGCTTAACAACCACCACCACCACCACAAATTACATTTGTAGAAAATATAAAACATATAAAACACACTCCCCCTTCATCCCTAATATCTTCTGGAGCAAAGAAAATATAAAATGTTTTTCTAAACGGTCGTTGGATTACCTGTACAGATTTACTGTGCCCATAGCATGGTGACATTCCACTGAGGGAAAATGCAGTCTTATTGATGCTGATGTACTCAAGAAGAGTTGCAGGACAAACTTGTGGTTCAGAGATTGCTAACTTAAAACAGTTTTTAAACTAGAAATATGACGGTTGAGGTTCTATAAGTGGAGTCCTGTAGCTCAGTGGTTAGAGCACTCGCCTTGCAAGCGAGACACTTGGGTTCAATTCCAGGCAGAGGGCGAAACCCTGGGCAAGTTTCCTTCCTAATAATAATCCACTCCAAAACAAAACAATAATTGGTCATTTTCAATCCATGACTGTTTGCGGGACGCTGCTGTGCGCAATTGGCTGCCGCGTTTCGCCCACAAATATACGGTCAATTCACTTTACAGCACATTCTGTGAAGCGCTTTGAGACTTCGAAAAGACGTGAAAAGCGCTACAGCAAATGCAAGGCTTATTATTATTATTATAGCGCCTTTCACATTGGGAGGACGTCCCAAGGAGCCGGACGGTCAGGGATTTGGACCCGAGCAGGCGGTTGAGATCAGGAGGGGTGGAGGGTGGGGAGGGAGAGGCCTTGAGGGAGGCAAGGGAGGCGAAGGAACTGTGGGATGGAGTTCCAAAGGGTGGGGGCAGAGAGGCTGAAGGCTCGACCGCTGATGGTGGGGTAAGCCGCAGCCCGCTAAGCAGAGAGAGCAGACAGTCAGTATGGAGTGTGTAGGTCACAGAAGTAAGGAGGAGCAAAGCCGTGGAGGGCTTTGAAAGGCTCGGTCGAAGAGATAGGTTTTTAAAGACACCTTTTTTAAAATCTCGATTATGGTAAAGATAGAGAGACATGTTTCATAACTGCTAAAAATCAAAATATATATTTGCAGCACCAGATACTTTACATGTGGAAGGGGAGCAGCAGAATACAGTCACATGTGTAACAATATCAGATATTGTTGAAGCGCTTTAGTTTGATTTCATTCTAGAAATAATAAAGGTTAAGGTTTATATGGAAAATATTTATATCAGTCATCTGTACTTTATATCCATTCTAAACATGTGCCCTCCAGGTTATCACCAACATCAGTTCTTTTCAACAAACTATCAAGAAGGATGGTAGAAGGCAGCACTGATGAGACTGTTTGCTGCTATAATGGGAAAATGGTTGGTAAAAGTATTCTTAAAGATTGAAATCAAATGAGCTGAAGGGGATTCTTCATTCAAACCTCTTGCGATTTGTTTCTTCACATTGCCTGGCAACAAAGGCCTTTCACATCTTGTTACCATCCATTCGGTCTAATGTCTTTAAATCAAGTTCTAACTTGTTTAGTTGTGTCTCAACTGTTCACTGAACGTCCACTGTATTGCTCAGTTCAATACCCCCTCTCCTTTGTAAGTCTTGACTTGTTATTCAGTTCTTTTCTGGTGGGGAAGGAGCAGGGTTTCTTCCCATTTAGCTCCTGTTAACCCTGCATCCTTCAAGCCTAAGCCCTAAAGAATACAGAATTTACAAGATAGTGTTCGCAACGGCAAGCTATACAGTTTTAGATGATTAAACTCTAGGAGTAAACCCAGACCTTAACCCCTGCTAGTTTGTGCCTGCACTTTCTGGAATTAGGGACTTGAGACATCCTCCCGACGTGAAGTCGCTTTACAAACGTACTGCTGTTGTTACTGTTAGGTAAGCAGGGCTGGTTCATCCGAGCAAAGACTACACACTCTATTCCAGACAAAGTGCAATCGACTTGCACATGTAGAACTGTCCGCATGGATATTGTTAAGCGTGGCTATCGGTTTCCACATGTCACACTCCCAAAAATCATCTTTATTTTTTAGAATATGTCCAGATTCTCCACATCCACACCATAATTAAATTTCATTTTCGAACCTGGGTTTATAATTTATTTTCACATTGCTTCAGGTGAACTGCATCACTTTACAGATTTGTCAGCTATGATAGAGGCTTTATCACCGTGAACGTTTTTTGGTTTAGTTTTAAGCTTGATCTCTCATATAGATGTCGAGCATGGCAACTACGATAGCTGAGATGTTTTTGTATATCAAGCGTCAGGATGGAGGAAAGTACATTTAATACACAGGGCTGATGCCTTCAACTCAATTACTCCAGTTCACTTCGTAAATAATTGCACAAGTAACATCAAGCGGCCTCGGGCACAATGCAAGAGATTGATCAATCAGTTTTCAAAGAAAGTATTCAATCCATCATAACTGAAAATACAACAATGGTCATGAATCCCAAGAATATATTATTGTTTATGTCTATGAGTTCTCTATCTTAGTTATTGTCCTTCATTATAAACTATTCCACCGATATATCTGTGTCACACACCATTTCCAAGGCAATAACAGAAGATACATAATAAATTACTTTAACTTCCTTCAAATGTGCTCTGGTTGCTTGGGATGAATCTTTTGATTTAACTTTCTCGTATACAAAGGAAAATCCAAATCCTTTCATGACAAAGCTGGTTAGTGCCTCAAGCTCCTTCCAGGGTAGTTAGACTGGGACAAACGTGGAATTATATATCTTGTTTGACGTCAGGGCACTGTTGCTAAAATTATGATTTTACTCTTTATTTTATAACAGTCTGATATTAAATCTGAGTTCCAAATTCGAAGAGATCATTTGCCCACAACATATGCAGTCAATTACCTTACAGTATATTCTGTGAAGTGCTTTGAGATGTTTCAAAGATGTGATAAGGCTCTATATCAAATGCAAGGATTATTATTACTGAAGTGAGCATAAATCAACACCAACAAGCTCAACATCCATTTTTTCCATTTCAATGACAATTTACTTGCAGTCGGATGCCACCAATCTTTATCACACAAAGTCAGAACTATTTTTTTTTAAATCAATGGCAATTTTATTTTAAATACTATTAGATCCCAAATATTATCTCATAATGACATTTCAAAATACCCTTATAAATATACAAAAAATAATAAAGCACTTCTTATGTACACACACACACAAACACACATTTCACTGTAAAATTTTACACTCCAGCATTTTCAGAAAAACTGCAAATTAGTTACAAAGCATAAATTAGTCAGTGAAAGGCGAACATTCAAAAGTGATGAAGCGCATTCTTCATTACAAGGTATGGGACACCTCATTCGATTTTTAAAATATAATCATTGTGCACAGCTGATAGGAAATCGCACATTAAATGACAACCTGGGAAGAATGGTCTTGATTTCACAACTAGATGATGATAGATTAGAGTTTCAGACCAGCTACAACACTCCAATCCCATCAAATAAAGAGCTATAGTGTTTACAGATGGGCATCCAGCTAGGCACTCCCCCGAAGAGAAGAAAAAAATACTAGATGTTGGTCTACATTTTTTCATTCAATCAATAATGTCGGGAGAATCTTGATGAAATGGGTAAATAAAATAAAGTCTTAGGGTGTAACTTTCCAGTCTTTAAAGTGTAGCATCTCTAACAGACACAAAACTCTTGTTGTCCAGCTAATAATTATCTTTAACTAATCCAATGAACACCAAGGGAGATTTGCTTAAAGTTTTTTAAAAAATTGAGATAAGTAATAAACAATGATTGCTTTGCAACTGACATTGCATTCCAGTGATTGCATTTTCATTCAATGTGAACTACACAAAAAAAAGCAGTTGTTTATTTTTAAAAAATCCAAATTATGTATGAGAAGCTTGAAAGTTAACTTATTACAATTTGCACTGATCAACAGCCCATTTTAATGATGAACAGTCCAATTCAATGCAAAATTAGGATTACTGTTGAGTTGTGTGAGGTGGGGCCTCATTCTTCCCGATTTCATGTGTAAAAATCAACATTTAAGATATCAAAACTTTAAAGCCATGAGGTATGTAGGAAACAGCCAAAAGTTACCATTCCAGTTAACAGAATTATCCAAATAGCTAATATATCACCCAGATAGAGATAAAACTTTTCAGACATTTCAAATAACAGTTTCCTGTGACCTGTTGAGTACTCTCATAAAAACAGTTTAAATTTCCACAAAATACCGATCTGCGTGTTTTCCCAGGTGATTTTTAAGCAGCAAAGATATTTTTAAAAATAACATGAATACAAGTACAAAGTGCAAAATTAATGAGCATAAATCTGGTAAGAATTCAACACAAAGTGATCTTGCATACTTAAGCCAAAAGGTGGTCATTACATAACAACTTTGCAGATCCTGCATGTTTGGATTACCTGCATCACATGCAAAAGACTTTAGGATTGGCACTGACGGACAACTCATACCAAGAAAGCAGTCTTGCCCAATGACTAAAAGTAGGGAGAATTGAAAATGGAGAAAGGGCATAGAATGTTTTCCTTATATTTGTAACGAACAATTGTGGATTTGTTTTATTTAATTTCTAGTTTCTAATTTCCCATTACTTGTTCATCCGCAATTTGTTTTTGTACTACAGCAACTACCCAGAAGACCTCATATGTATGTAGACTCGTTGTCGAGAGAGAATGTCAGCAAGTTCTTACTATGAATCTCTTTATGATGATGCTCGTCTCAAACTGGTCAGCACCAGATATGCTTATAGTTGAGACAATAGAATTATAAGATGTTCGGTCTCTGTAAAAGTCTAATGCCTTTACTGTTAAAGACTTCAATCCACAAACGCAGCTAAAAACTTTAAACAAATTCCAATCTGACAATAGACTAGAGGTACTTGTAATCTAAGATTCAAACCTGCCTCTATCTGGTCCGAAGCCAGTTCTTCACAATGCACACTTATTTCAGATTTTTGTTAGATGGATTAGAATTAAAATCATGACCCAAATCTTCTTTATTGCTACAGATCAGTTTTAAATCTTTGTGCCTTAACATCTGTGCAACTGGACATCAATATCAGCAGGTAACAGAATAGGATATCAGTCTTGTGTGTGCGTGTGTTTGTTAAGGGGCTAATTGGAAAAACAAGTAGCTGATTTAGAGTTCCATACAATTAAGATGTTCCTTTAACATAACTTATTTGTAACTCATCAAAACAAATATGATCAATCACTCATCGTAAAAAATAGTAGATTCCTAACAGTTCCAGCTGTGCTTCTAAGCAAATAAAAGGAGGAAGTTAGCTCAGCAGTGCCATCGCCAGAAATTCTGTGGCACTGCATCACTCTGTGAATCAATTTGATTTTGAGATCAACTGCAGTGTTTACCACAAATGGTGATTTAGATCTATTAGGACAACCCATTTCCCAGGATTTCTCAATTACCCAACGGGGTTGAAACTTACATCTTCAGAATGTGAACAAACTAAAGTGCACGAACCAATGAACAATGTCCAAGTTGCCAGCAGAATTGCTTTGGATTTTGCACATTATGCCTTTTTCAAAAAAAAAAGTCAAAATGCAATTCTGTTGGGAGGTGGATTGAACCTAAGCAGTGCCAACCTTCTGCTGTAAACTGATAGAAACCGATTGTTGTGTAGCTGGATCTTTCAGCTGTCGGTTTGCTAAAGCAACTCTTGCTCATCATCTTCTGAGCCAGATGGTCCCTGACGCACCTCTTCATACCATTTATTGGTTAGGGTTTTCATTTGGATTCGGCCATGATGAAGATCCTAGAGAAGATGCACAAAGTTACTCAAACATGAGTAAATTTGGTTACGACTCAATGCTTCCTTAATTTTATTGCTCTGTACATGAAGACTTAAGCTTAAAAAACAGAAGCAGAGATTACAAGGTCATAAAAAAAGGTGCAAATAGTATCGGGGCACAATAATCCTTGCATTTTGACAAAAGTAGGACAGGCGGGAAACAAGCAAATAATAGAGCAAGGTGTCAGGGGAGATAGGCAACTCTCAATATTGACAATTCTGTTCCTCGTCTGATGGTTGAAATGGCAAGAATTTGCTGGAGAGGTAGCACTACTTCAGGAATGGGAATAATCTCTGGGCAATTCAACCAAAGGAAACACAACTAGGAGAATCAGAAACCTCCAATTTCTATCACGGAGATAATGCTGCAAATTCCACACAGAATGATATAACTTGCCTGAGTTAACATTTAAAAACAAGCTGATGACATAATGGCAGCATCCTGAATGACAATAAATGCAGGACATGGTATCCAGTAATATGTGTGCCACTGCAGCTGCTAGATCTGAACCATTGTAGCACACACTCAATAGCTGCGAAATTCAATGCATGCAATGCTTGAAATTCAATATTTAGAATGCTGTCATCCCTCTCCCACCAAAATCAGTGAAATAACATCTGAAACAATGGAAGTTTAAGAAGGAATAGCCAAGACAATATTTATGATTTGCATTTTAACTTGCAATCGAGTGAGTCTTCCGAAACCTTCCAGAAATTGCTGCACAATAGTTAATTAATTCAAATGAATATCAGATTTATTAATTGTTTAACCAGATGAATTGAAATATTACACACACGCTCACAATTGATGGGCTGTTATGCAGTTTGTGCCGCAATTCGAGCGTTATGTGTAGTAAAAAAAAAAAAGTTGAAAGATAAGATTGATTTTGTTCTTCCAGGAGTAATACTGCAATCATTAACGGATGCATGAACACTGCTGTCTCAATGGAATACTTCGGCATTAAAGGCAAAAGCTAAATGCCAATAATGTTGATGAATACTCCAGCCTAATTGTATCAACATATCAGATGGCAACTAACATCTGGTGTGTCAGTTGGTCAGCAGATGTTAAAATGCTCCTCTTTGTACCATGGAACAGGTGTTTGCTTGTCACAAGTCAAACTGTTGAGCGTTTTTATACTAACTATCACTGAGCACAAGACTGACCAACGTAGATTTGCCACGATCATTTCTATTTGAATTTTTCAGCAGGCCCATGTTGGGACTAGGAAACAACTAGAATGTAATACTGCATTAACCTGAACTGAACAAAAAGCTAACAATAGTTATTAATAACAGATATAATGACTTTAGAAAAATTGAATTATCTTTTGTCTTCATTAAAACAAACACTAGATCCCTATATATGCAAAACATACTCCTAGAGATTCCACTTCAGAAAGTAAAAATCTGCTTTAGTCATTATTTTAAGATAAAATTAGGAGCACCAACCTCTGGAGTCAGCCTTCGTGTAAAGAAAGGATTCAGATATTTTGCGTCAAACCACAGAAAACCTTTCAGATTGTGCCTTTTGATGTAATGTGCCTCATATTCCTCCTCTGTTAGCTCTGAAAGGTGCTCACTTTCAATTGTGTTTCCCTGGAAACAACAGCACCCAATTAGAAGACTGTACATACCAAATTGACTTGACTTAATTCATCGGGTTTGTCAGCAACAATTTTTACATCCATTCCCACCACAAGTTCAAATGTACATATTCCATTGGCCAACTATGTTGGCAGCCTCTTTGTAAAAAGTTGCTGGGCTGAAATGAATTCAAAATGAAAGGAAATCTAAAATGGGAAAAAGCAGATAATTATGTGAATCAAATACCATCTTCTCGGTTTTGCTGAGCGTAATGTCTTTCTTGTTTCTGCGACGAGTTTTGGGATCTTCAATATCCAGGAGTCTGGTGAGAGGCATTGTTCCTCCGCCCAAAACCAGAATTGTGAACAGTACAATAACAATGGTGGTGGTCCCAATAAGCTGGCGTTTCTCTATGGGCTTCATCTCCAAATGTAGACTCAAGGCGTAAGGAATTGCACCCCGTAGCCCTAACATGACAAAATGGGTAGGAAAAGAAAGATTAATTTGATGATGGAAAATAGGCCATTGGATTTTGTAACAATAATATTTTACTCTAGCTTTGGAATAGAACACCATTAGGAATTGATAGAATTGCAGTAATCATAGCTTACTCTTCCGCCAGGAACTAAATCCTTGAGTCCAACATGCAATTTAAACTTTTTTTAAAAAAATTAACCACTTACCACTGAACCACATAACAAACATCATTTTAGGCGTAATCTTGTGATCTCGAAAGAAGTTCAGGAAGTAGGAGAGAGGGAAGATATTCAGTGCTCTGGCTAGTAGGACAAGTACCTGCAAATAATCAAAATCTTATTAGTAATAGTAAGTACAACAAGCAAAGAATAACTAATTTTAGTTCTGGATGCTTGAAGGAAAAATCTAGCAGATTGCAAAACTACCAGATCAATATCTGAATATATCAACTGCAAACAGAAAGTGGAAACGTCTTAATTTTAACATTCATTGAACTAAGATTAAGCAAAAAAGTCAACAGCATTTTTTCATATTTCAATTGTGTGCAGGTCTACAGCATCACAGTTGCCACTACAAAAGCTATACTACTCAGAGTGAGCCACCTTAAGTATTCTACACAAGCCCTCTCTTTGTGTTTATTTTAGATGAAGTTTGATCTTCTCTCTTCCCGTCGCTCTCTGCGCTGCCTCTCACAAGATTATACGAGGCAGCACTAAACTCCAAAGAGATTACATGGGGCAAACTGTAGTGTTTGGCTGTAGTATTAGAACAATCTGTCATAACATGTAGGAGCAGGAGTAGGCCATTCAGCCCTTTGAGCCTGCCTCGCCATTCAATCATGGCTGATCTTCTAATCTAACTCCAGCTAATACCATAACCCTGCCTTATCCCCATATCCCTTAATCCCTTTTGCAATAAGAAATCTATCTATCTCAGTCTTGAATATGTTCCAGGACTGAGCGTCAACAGCCCTTTGGGGTAGGGAGTTCCATACATTCACCACCCTTTGAGTGAAGTCATCTTTCCATAAGAATTAAGGCAGGTGGCTAGTAAAAAGTAAATTATTATATGTTAAATGACTAAGAATTAAACTAAAATATACTCACAATGCACCAGATAACAAATGAAATTTCGAACTTGTGAGGAAAGCTGAATATAGCCAGACCAATATAAGCAAAGACGCACGTTTCTGTGAAGACAACAGAATTTTACACTTTATTGGTGATTTTATCAGAGTTGATTTTAGCAAGCACTTGAAGTTCGTGTCCTTATTAAAATCAAAACATTACATTCTGTCAATTTAATAGCAGGTGGAAACAAATAGTGATGTGAGCATTACTGTTGATACCACCGATTTCATTTGTTCTAGAATTTCCACATAAATTATGATTTTCTAGTGCTCCATTGCACAACGCTTAAATCAATTTTGGCATCTTTTTTAAAATCTTTTATTATCTGTTATTTTTTTAAAACAGATATCCAAGTACTCCCTAATGAATTATTGCTTTGCCAAATTCAAAGTGAATAACTTTGAATAATGGACACAAAATAAATACGTACCACACATGAAAGCCACAGTACGCAGCGTTTGCTGCATAAGAATCTGTGTAACTGGAGAGAGGTTATGGTGAGCATAGTGAGACATCACAATGCCAGAAAACAGAATAGCCATAATACCTGGAACACAAAGAAGAAATAAAATCAGTAAACTTATGGAAAGCAGTACATGTTAAAAACAAAAAAGGTAAAATAGCAATCACTTTCATTCTTAATGTTTTGCAACCCTTTTTAAAGAAAATAAAACTTTTTTTCAACTGAACGTTGTTTATCAATGCAAATTATGGGGTAAGAAAGAAAGTTCTATGAAATGCAACAGGCTCAAACTTTCACATGGTAAAACTCAGCATCTCATTCCACTCAGTCCAGTCGTGGGTTTTAAGATAAGGAAATAATGTTGCATATTGATGCTGCATTAGCACTGTACTGGCTGCTCCCAACTCATCTTGTATCTCACAGCATTGTTATGTGTTTATGTTCTCTGCAAGTATTTATTTGGACACTAAACTGTAAAGAAACTTTCCATGGAACTCATGATAACAGGCAAGTGAACAGAAGGGAGAAGAGAAGAACAACCGAATGATTTAGAGGCATTTTGTTTAAACATAAACATAAGTCTGTTTACATAACAAGGGAAAGAACATTCATATCAAAGCTTACCAGACAACTTGATACCCTCAGCAAGTCCATAAGGAAGGTAGGCAAAGATTATCATCATCCCAAACTCCAATGATGGAGTCTTTCTGAGATCTATATGCTTTAAGAGGTAAATGCTCAAATGTTAAGAAAAAAATGCAAACAATACAATGAGCTGCATCACACTTGCATCAAATTTAAATGCTTGAGGTCTGTCGTGTATGAGATGCATTGAACACAGATGAACAAGCATTTTAATCAGCCATGGACTCTGATTCAGTATAAACTAAGCAAGAGACAACATGTAACACATTTCTGCATCCTTCTCGCTAAAGCATAGCATTCTTGTGGTGGGCGAATTCAATATTACACTTTGTGGGCAAATGTTGAAAAAAATAAAGGTTGCTTAAAGTGCAAAATGTTCCTAAATATTCCATTAGTAAATGGTTATTTTTGATAATGTTCATAATGTTTGAATCTCTGCTGGAGCTTCGAGAAAACGGAAATATAAACATCTCCGATTGAATAATCAACATCAACAAATTATATTTGTACAGCAAAAACAGACCCTTTGTCAGAACTGGGGCTTTTGGGAGGGAGAGGCTTTTAAGGGCTAACAAAGAGGGGGGAGGCAGGGCAGGGAAGACAAAGGAGAAATGGGGTACACGGCAGGGGATGATGAGTTAAAAGAGGTGTTAATGACGCAAAAACAAAGGGGATCGCAACAAAGTAGGGGAATAGAGGTGTTAATAGTGCAGAGGTGTTAATGAGAAATAGAAGTGTTAACACCTCTATTCCCCTGCTTTGTTGCAATCCCCCCCCCCCCCCCCGCCTTTGTTTTTGCGTCATTAACACACCTTTATCATCCCCATCATCCCCTGCCCGCGACCCCATTTTCTCCTTTGTCTGTTAGCCCTTAATAGCGTCTCCCTCCCAACATACCCGAAACGTTGACTCACTTTCCTTTCTCCATAGATGCTGCCTGACCTGCTGAGTGTTCCCAGCGACTTCAGTTTTTGTTTTCAGATTTCCAGCATCTGCAGTATTTTGTGTTTAGTTTATATTTGTATAGCGCCTTTCCTGCTAAGAGGAGGTCCCAAGGCTCAAGCAAAAGAAGGATATCAATGCAGAGATAAGTCCAGTAAGAGTTCCAAGTGCTGCAGATCCAAAAAACATCTTCAGGAAGTAGCCCAAAGCTTGCAGAAAGGTGTGCCATCCACTCACATTGGACGTGTTCTCTCTGGCTAAGCCTTCTGCGGTGCTGTTGGTATAAGCAAATACTCACATGAGATGATCCAGTTTTCACCAAATAATTGCTACATGCCATAGCCAATATTTTTCAACAACTGGAATGTTTTATTACATTCACCTAAAATTTGCTTTTAGGTGAACAAACAAGTGAAGTTACAGAATAATGTCCTTCAGAATAACCTGCTGCAGATCTACTAATTCAAAATGCTAAATTAAGTGGCATATAATTCAGCAGGCTATATAAGGTAAAGAATGAGAGAAATAGTCTTACTTTGTAAGGACAATAGAAACTGCATCATTCAGAATGCTTTCTCCAAACACCAACATGTTCAGAACAGGATCCACATTTAGAGCATTAAAGATGGCAATTGTAGCAACTGGATCAACGGCAGATATTAAGGAACCAAATGCAAAGCTGCAAAAATAAAAAGGACATCACCATATCTCAGAAATATATATTGAATAATTACATTAGTTGTCCAAGACCTTTCAAATTTGAAAAAGAATACTCTGCAGCTGCTGTTGCATTATGAGTAATAACCACTTCCTTTCATACAGATAAAAATAATTTAAAAAAATTAAAGTAAAAACTCAGTTCTTTTTCCAGGTGCAATGCAGCAGAAGGTGAGAGTGAAGATTCTCTGATAAAATGTTATCCAATGGTATGCAAAAACAGTTAACATGTGAAAGACTTATTGAGGTAACTAATAACTGTCTAAGATGTATAAAAGCATGTTACCAAGCTAGTTTCCCTACCTATTACTGGACTTTCTATTCCTCTTTTGTCTCAGGCCTTCCCATATCACCTTATGTATACTTTCAAGAGTGCCAGCTTTCTATCCGACAATACGTGATATGATATTGAGTACATTTATGGAGATGAAAGTTCAATCCATGTCCAATTTCCTTCTCTTGAAGTTGACCACTCTGATTTTGGAGAGCACTCTACTCAGTAGAAAACTTCTGAAACTCAGGCTCAAATGTCCCAGTTGTATTCTCATTATGAAAAAAAAACCTCTAAAGGCATTTGGTTAAGAATCCACAATTGCAATGTTACACAAGCACAAAGTGACAAATGGATGATTAAATGAACAAGAAAAGTGTGTACAATCCCTTACTTTTTCAAAAAATAAAAAACAGAAAAAAATTAAATTACCTGTCTGTTACAGTGAGTTGATATATAACTTCAGCCTAAAAAGGAGAGAAAAAGTGTTGAAGCTGATGTAATTCCAAACTAAAGCTCTATTGTTAAATTGGATTGGATTTTCCACAGATGGCATGTTCTGATTTGATGTGTACACACACTGTACACTTACATCATTTAACTTTGTTATCTTAACAGTAAAAATATCTCAAAGATTAAATAAATTGTACCTATAAAGATTCGAGTGTGAGATTCAGTTATGCATTATGCACAACCTGTGTAACACATTTAGGAAATGCTTTCAATAGCCCACCCTGATGGAACATTAGAGATTAATAAAATAAATATATTTAATACTGCAAAACAATTACAGAGCAGCTCAAGTCTTTCTGTAAAGACCAGTATTTTGAAAAGCTAGAATTTAAAAATGGAATTCAGTTCAAAATAAGGAGATGAATAATTTAAACCTCATTATTGCAGTTATCCATTAATTTCCAAGCAAATAATACCCTTGGTAAACAAACTTGATAGTAGCAACACATTTAATAAAATTGCTTTAAGATAAAGTGCAGACTCACATTGAGTGCTTCGGGTTTCCTTTGCTGAAAGGGTGGTGGAGGCTGATTTGATAACTACTTTTAAAAACGCGGTGGATGGGTATTTGAGGAGGACGGGTTTGCAGGGTTATGGGGAAAGGGCTGGGGAGTGGGATTGACATTAATTGCTCGATTCAAAGAGCCGGAACAAACTCGATGGGCCGAATGGCCTCTTTTTGTGCTGTGCGATTCTATGATTCTAATTCCAAGTGGACTGCAAATTTACAGGAGTTTATACGTATTGCGTTAGGTCATGCATGTGCCCCCAACACATACATGTCCAATGCTTTAAATTACAAGAGTATGTTATATTTGGAACATTCATAGCACGTCTTCGATATACTTTCTGGTGCACTGTTGATTGAGGGATCAAGGTTAATTGGTGTGAGCCACTTTCCAACTGCCAGGATCCTGGAACATCATATCAGCTCCAGCTGTTAAACCAAAGCCAACACAACATTCTAAGCCAGATCGCCCTGGACGGATCTCAGTGAATGTCGCATCACTTGAGTGCAGTGGTCAGTGAGTCTCAATGACTCTGTACTGTGCTTTTCACATCACATTCACACATCAGAAAATCATAGAACGAGGACGTAAATGCATGCTGAAGTGAACAATGAGATCTCGCACTCACCTTACCGAGAAAATATACTCCACCGCCTACAACGAAAGCTGAAATAGCTGTGCCAATCACAGCGAAAAGGCTAATAGATCCTATATTCTGAAAAAAGTTACCCTGAGAAAAAAGATAGGAAAAGAAGTCAAACAATTAATATTTATTTTAATGCAATGTAATAAACATTGTCCCAAATTAATAGTTTTTCCACCATTACAGACAACTGGCACACAGTTCTAAGGTTGCATTCTCAAGTAGTCATTCTTTACATGCGAGCCTGTATAATTTGTGCAGACAAACTAACTGGGGATTGGTGTGATGCAAGAGAAAGCATTACTGACGAATCAAATCCTGTCCTGTTCAAAATACACACTTGGTTACTTTCCTCCAGTTCATTGAACAGTGGGATGGGGGAGGGGAAGGAGGGTCTAGCTGACAGTGGGAGAAACAGAGGACCGCAGATTTCTGGAACATCTGGAGATGATAAAGTGAAGAAACGGGGAGGGACGAGCAGGGCATTGGAGAAGTTGAGTCTGGAGGCGACAGAAGCAAGAATAAGGGTTTTGGCTGCATGGGGATTGAGATAATGCCAGAGGTGAGATTTGTTGCTGAAATGGACAAAAGCAGATTTGGTCAGAGCCCAGTTGAAAAGGTTTGTACAGGTTGCGTGAACAGCCAGGGAGGTTGATGTGCGCTGCAGGATTTGAATCACATGAGGTGAGGTGAGGGACTTTATAACTGGAGGCAATTGTTGTACTAAGTGGATTTATGGAGATGGGAAGTGCTTCAAACAAACTGTGATGTGGAGTGACTATGTGTTTTGTAAGTGAAAGTGTGAACTGTATTTTATTTCCCTCCCTTACATACCTTGTGTAGTGAATATCCAGATTCAAAAATAATGGGGGGTAGTAACAAGAGGAAAAACATGTTCGGACGAAACATTTCTTCTTCCTGTGAAGAATTAAAACATAATGGTACAAAGTTAGTGACTTTACAGACCTGAACCAATAACTAAAAGAATAAATATTTATTTACTGTGAAAGAATGGAAATCCTTTCTTTCAGGTTGTTTAAAATAAGCTAAGGAAAAATTAAAAGGAATATTGTTTTATTAAAATATAGTTCTCTTTCATTCTTAGAGATGACAGCAATGCACGTACCTCTATGCTATGGCAACTATTATTGACACCCACAAAACACGTACCTTCCAGTTTGCAAGGTGCTCTGATTCTATAATTTTAATCACAGCTCCCATAAAGATTCCTGCAAGAGAGAAAAAAACAAACCTTTAAAGTGCTGCAATAAAATGTATTCATTCAAACATTGTATTCGGTTGACATCCTGTGAGATGATGTGGGGACAAGAGGCAGTAATGGAAAAGACCTAAACTGAAATAAAGCACTCAGACCTCAACCTCTCAAGGGGGGAGAAATTTTAAGCTCTGAGTAGAACCAAATTAAAATACTTAACAAGCATTTAAAAAAAAGTTTTTTTTAAAAAAACCTTTTGTTAAAATGGGTGTTCCAGTTTATCACTGTAATTACAACTCAACCATAACGTCAAATCAGCAAAACAGATATTTGAACAGCTACCTTTCTTTTGATATTGCCGCACTGCACTCCTGTTGTACAGATATTAACATTCAACAGCAACAAAATTATATTTGTATAGCTGCAGGAGCAGCAGCATGTTTGTACCACAGAACTTCTGCATCACTCCCAAACTGGTAATAAAGAATGGAATTTACAAGATGTTAAGAACTACAGAAATGGCTTAAAATTTTAAAGATTTGATGCTATTGGTCAATTAGACTGAAAAAGATATTGTAGACTGCTGTTTTTAATATAACAGCATGTCACTTCATTCCCAATGAGGTTTAAATCTTTCTGATCCATTAAACGTTTTGATTCAATTTGACATCACTTTCATTAATAATTTAAATTATGTTTGCAGGGAACTGATTTGATAATGAAACCGACTCCCAAATTATTACAAAATTACTGTACACTTACCTAAAGATACAACTGCCACACTTTCTGGCAGGAAATGTAGTTTGTATTTAATCAGCAAATGCACCAATATGATACAAATAGCTGTGAAATAAATATCAAATATTTACATGTTAGATAGAAATAAATGTTCATTATATCACAAAAAAAGTGCACTGAAAATACTTAAGGCTAAATGGTTATAAAATAATGCATCTGTTAAATATTTACTTTCAAAGTACATGGCCATTAATATTAAAATTGAAAGAAACATAAAACAACTTCAAATAGAAAAACTAAAACAGAAGTTGCTGGAAACACTCAGCAGGTCAGGCTGCAAATAGGGGAGAAACGAAAATGGGTCAACGTCTTGATTCAAGTGTTCCCAGCGACTTCTGTTTTTGTTTCAGATTTTCAGCATTTGCAGTATTTCGTGTTTTGTTAAATGGAACAAATCCCACTTTGCACATAAACACAAGTTTACATTCAGCACAGGGAAGTAATCTTATTTTCACCTGGCATATTGATCAGATGTATCTGAATTAAATGTTTTGTTTTAGACCCACAGCAAGAAAACTACTTCGGTCATCAGAATTACTTCTCTAATTTACTGTGGCTATTCACTTCATATCAGTTTCGGAAACAAAGGTTTAAAAGCATGAACAGCTCATTCCCAAGAATAAACGTTTTAGGAACAACTCACACAAGATCAGAAAGGGAGATTTGGACGGTAAAACCTTTTCCCATTTGACCTCATACTTAAAAGAATGCACAATTTACTGTCCTTGCATTAAAAAATGTTAAAAATTGAAAAATTGTCCGGCCCTCTTCCTGATATCCCGTTAGTTGTTCCGCATGGAAATTCTAGAAAACAAATAACTTTCAAAACAATTTCTGAACAGACCAAGCTACTGTGTCCCAGTCACACACCCAATATAAGCAGACTGAAGAATATAGTCATTCCGCTCGACTGCTCTTCCTGCTGTGCTTCAACGCCAGTCTGAAGAGGGAGGATGGGTTTTGGTGGCGTTGGAGGAACTGGCACTGTAGTTGTCGCCCTCGAAGTGGAAGTAGTTTGCAACGTCGCATTTTCTTCCGTTGCGTTGCTTAAACGTGTGAAACTGGTGTAAAAAAAAAGCAGAAGCACCGCAGTAAGGAAATGATTGCTTTCTCTTTCAACAAGTAACGCATTCCATTTTTAGAAAGTGACAATAATGCCCCCGATACTCGTTACAATCAACACCCGTTTTTAAAACGATATACTTGACCTCCTCTCAGTTAACGTAAATCGACATAAATAAACCCATCGGCCAAATCAAACAAACCGTAGAACTTCAACAAACAAAAATGCAAGGGTTATTTTTATTATCACCATTATTCTAAACAACCCCTTATTTTATTTATTGTCGTCTCGAAGACCCGGTGAAAGGCGCGACATCAGACGCGCGGTTTAATGATGACGACTGTCACCAGAATCGGGTCGATTCCCTCGGCGCAGAGGCGGTGGAATGAAACTGGGTGGGTGGGTGGGTGGGAGGGAGGGGGTGAGAGGGGGCTACACCTTCATGAGATACATACCCGAGTTACAACAATCCCGGGGTGGGGGGGTGGGGGGGGTGGGGGGTGGGGGCGTCAGGGGGCAGAGACGGTCACAGGGGACTGTCAAAGCCAAGTCCTGTGTGCTGCACCACAGAGGCCACTGAGCACACACACACCCACCTTCCTCCCTCTCCCCCACCTTCCTCCCTCTCCCCCCCTCCCTCTCCCCCACCTTCCTCCCTCTCCCCCCCTCCCTCTCCCCCACCTTCCTCTCCCCCCTCCTCTCCCCCCTCCTCTCCCTCCCCTTCCTCTCCCCTCCTCCTTCCTCTCCCCCCTCCCCCACCTTCCTCTCCCCCCTCCTCCCCCCTCCTCTCCCCCCCCTCCCCCCTTCCTCTCCCCTCCTCCCCTCCCCCCCCCCCCACCTTCCTCTCCCCTCCTCCTTCCTCTCCCCCTCCCCCACCTTCCTCTCCCCTCCTCCTTCCTCTCCCCCCCCTCCCCCACCTTCCTCTCCCCTCCTCCTTCCTCTCCCCCCCTCCCCCACCTTCCTCTCCCTCCTCCTTCCTCTCCCCCCCTCCCTCCTCCTTCCTCTCCCCTCCTCCTTCCTCTCCCCTCCCCCCCTCCCCCCACCTTCCTCTCCCCCCCCCCCCCCCCCCCCCCCCCCCCCCCCTCCCCCCCCTTCCTCTCCCCCCCTCCCCCACCTTCCTCTCCCCCCCCCCCCCCCCTCTCCCCCCCCCCCCCCACCTTCCCCTCCCCCCTCCTTCCTCTCCCCCCCCTCCCCCACCTTCCTCTCCCCTCCTCCTCCCCCCTCCCCCACCTTCCTCTCCCCCCTCCCCCACCTTCCTCTCCCCCCCCTCCCCCACCTTCCTCTCCCCCCCACTATCGCCCCTCCTCCTCCTCCTCCTCACCTCTTCCGACCATCTTTCGGCAGCCTCTCCTCAGGCCCGGCCGAGGTGCTGGTCGCTTGGCTCTGGACGACGTCGACTCCTCCTCCTCCCCCTCCTCCTTGTTGCGCGGCCGAGCGGCCCGGCGGCTGAGGAGCGGCCTCGGCACTGCCGGCCAGAGAGGCCGAGGCCGCCGGTGGCGGTGGTGCCAACCGTGCCGGGTTCGCAGCCGCGCCCAGTACGGGCTCCAGGCAGCCCGAGGCGAGCAAGAGGGCGGTGAAGAAAGAGCGGGTCGCGCCCGCCGCCGCCGCCATGTCCGACTCTCTTTTCCGTGTTCGTTGCCGGTTGTTTACGGCCGGTTACCCGCGGGGCATCCTGGGAGTTGTAGTCCATCCGCCCCCATCACCGGAACTACAACTCCCGGCATCCCCTCCTCCTCCGCCTCCCCGCCCCACTCGCGCATGCGCGCTACTCCCACCCTGCCAAGCCAATGTCAATTTCCCTGCACAACACTGCAGAGAATGATAATAATAATAATAATATTATTCTATTATTATTAATAATAATAATAATAATAAACCCTTGCATTTGATACCGGGTCTTAGTCACGTCCTCGAGTCGTCCCAAAGCGCTTGGCCTGATTGATGCGCTGTGAAGCGAATCGAACTGCATATATTTTGTGGGATGTCGGAATTCTGAAATAAGAAAAAAGACAGAGGAGAGCGAGTTAACGCTTCGGGTCGGTGACCTTTTCGACAGAGCGCTTTGACGAAAGGTCGTCGACCCGAGACGTTAACTCAGTTTCCACTCTCCATAGGTGGCCCCCTGCGTGTTCCCGGCGACTTATGTTCTTATCTCAATTTCCCGGTGGCTTTTCCAGTCCAGATCCCCTTTCCAACCCAAATCCCATTTTTTTTTTGCCACCTTCTCCGTTTCTACTTCTGATTTCCGGCTTCCACAAAGTAGCCACGTTACAGACTGTAGCGTTCAACTCAATTAGTTTGTAACACTAAATCTTTCTTGAATTTGATAATGCGGCGGTCATAACCTGGGAAAGTCTCCAAAGAGTTTCACGGGTGATTTCTGTCAAGTCTAGTGGCTGTGTATTTGTAGGCAAACACAGCAGCCAATTTGACCTCCCAAACAATTCAAATAATTTAAATTGTGCAATTATTGGCCAGGACGCTGGGAGAAACTACCTTTTCAACTGAAATTTGGTGTAACATCATGTCTACAAACGCACCCGGTAATGAACTGAAAGGGTGGCGGAAGCCGATTTGATAACAGCTTTTAAGAGAGAATTAGATAATTATTTGGGGAGGACATGTTTTGCAAGTTTAATCTGTATTCACCACTTGCCCAGACAGGTACAGCTAAAATAACACTTGAGAAGCTCAACACCGTCCAGGAGAAAGCAGTTTGCTTGACTAACACCTCAGCCACTAGAGTTTCATTCTATCTCACCAACACACTGTGGCTGCAGTGTGACCTATCTACAGAACTGTAGCAACCTATCAATTTTATTTTTAAAGTATCTCCCAGTCCAGTGACCTCTACAATGATGGTTTCATGGGAACGCCTCCAATTCACTTGCCATCCAGACTTGGACAAATATCACTATTCCTTCATCGTCAACAGGTCAAATTCGGGAGTTCTCCATCATTGCTGGAGAACAACTGCTACAAAGGACCACCAGAGGTTGATAGAGAAGGATCCACTGCCACCTTTTTTTGGACAGCCAGGGATGGGAAATAAATCAAACCTTTGCCAGCCAGTGCCGTCCCCATCCTAAGTTAGATATCTGTGTTTCGTTCTCTCTCTCTCCCTCTCCTCCACTCCTCCTAAACCTACAGCATTTTGTTTCGACATTACACCAGTGGGATGCAGAATGCACCATAAATGAGTTCAAAGTGATGTATTGCACAGGTGCCAGTTGTACCACTGTACCTCCTCCTTGAACTACTTGCCTCAGGTGGTGAGAGGATCCTTTACACCGGAGAGATGCTCTGGGACGCCAGCCTGCACGCTGGACGCTACATAAACGCAAATTGTTGTGTTGTTCGTCTAACCCTTGGGGAGCAATTGTTTCGGTCAGAGCCTGCGGTGTTTGAGACGACTTGAAGACGCGATAAGGCGCTAAATCAAATGCAAGGATTATTATTATCATTATTATTATTCTAAGGCAAGGGCTGGCCCTGTGTGACATATCTTCCTATTAGTTTGGTTTCAGTGCCCCCCCCCCGAGGAACACACAGTTGGTTTTCAGGCCAGTGACCTTTTCTGTGTATCCTGACTCGGGAGTCCTGTAGCTCAGTGGTTAGAGCACTCGCTTTGCGATGGGACATTGCTGTGCGCAATTGGCTGCCGCGTTCGCCCACCAATATACAGTCAATTCACTTTACAGTGTGTTCCGTGAAGCGCTTTGGGACGTCCTCCCGACGTGAAACAGCGCCGTATCAAAATGCAAAGATTATTATTATTATTATTATTATTATGTCTCATCTCCAGCAGCAACTGTGGAAGCAACGTCTCTTTGCAGAGGGCTTTGTTGCCTCTTCTCCCTTCCTTCCTTCTTTGCATTTTTCTTTCCTGCCCTTCTCTCTCTCTCTCTCTTTCTCTCTTTCTCTCTCTGTGCACTTCCTGCATTTGCAGCACTGGGGTTTAATGCGGGGGGGGGGGGAGGATGTGTTTGTGGGCTTGGCCAAGTCTCCCCATCCTCCTCCTCCTCCTCCTCCCCTTTTTCCTCCCCTTCTCAGCCTCGAAACGAGTGGGATCGAAAGCAAAAAAAAAGCAGATCGATCTGTTGCAGATCGACAAGAAGGAGGAAGAGAAGAAGGAGAAGGAGGAAGAGGATTGGAAAGAGAGAGAGAGAGAGAGAGAGAGAGAAAACACAAAGATAATCTTTTGAGTGATCAGATAAACGATGTTATAGAAGATTTAAAGGGGGTTCAGCAGCAGAAGGAGGAACCTTCCCCTCTCTCTCTCTCTCTGAATATATATATATCATTGGATAGTGAATGAATTTCCCTCCTTTGGAGGGGGGTGGGGGGGGGGGGTTTGCAAAAAAAAAAGGGCGTGTGTACACAAGCTGTGAGCCTCAAGTTAGGAATCCCCACCCACCCCAAAGAAAAAAAAAAATTTTGAGCAGTGACTCTGCACCAACCTCCAGTCAAAAGGCTGAGCTGAGTCTTCCTTATTCATGAGCAGCAGATCTTAGAGGCAGATCAGTTGGGAGTGGAGCAGCTCAATCCCATCGTTAACCCTCCAGCTTTCTCCCCCTCTTCTCTTCTTCCTCCTCCTCCTCCTCCTCCTCCTCCCCCCTCTCTCTCTCTCTCTCTCTCTCTCTCTTTTTACCCCCTTCTCTCTCTCTCTCTCTTTACCCCCTTCTCCCTCTCTCTCTCTCCCTTTCTCTCTCTTTACCCTCTCTCTCTCTCTCTACCCCCCTCTCCCTCTCTCTCTCTTTACCCCCCTCCCTCTCTCTCTCTTTACCCCCTCTCTCTTTACCCCCCCCTCCTCTCTCTCTCTTTACCCCCCTCTCTCCCTCTCTCTACCCCCCTCCCTCCCTCTCTACCCCCCTTTCTCTCTCTCTCTTTACCTCCCTCCCAATTTCCCCCTCCCTGTCCTTCCCAACAACAACTTGGGGTTTGATCTCCTGTCCCTATCCCCCCCACTCCCCCCCCACTACCCCCCACTCCCCCCCACCACTCCCCCCCACTACCCCCCACCACTACCCCCCCATCCCCCCAATTTGCCACGATCTCTTTAGGCCACTACTTTGCCATCAGGATTCCCCTCTCCACTCTCCTCCCTCCCTCCCTCTCTCTCTCTTTCTCTCCTTCCTTCCTCCCTCCCTCCATCCCACACCTCACTTCACCTCCCCCTTGGGCACCCCCCCCCCCCCCCCCTCTCTCTCTCTCTCTCTCTCCCTCCCTCTCCCTCTCTCCACCTCTCTCTCTCTCTCTTCCCCCCCTTTTTTTTTGTCCTAAAGCGTAATATGAGGAGACTTTTTCGCTCAGTGTTGGCTTTGTTGTTTGTCTTCTCCTTATCATCTTCTTTCCTTTACTTCATCTATGTAGCTCCAGGATTAGGTGAGTGTGATTTTTTTTTCACCCCCCCCCCCCCCTCCACACACACACACACACACACACCCCTTATTATTATTATTATTATTATTTTCAACACGTTTCTGGGTGGATTTGTTAAAGGATTTGATGTTTGCATTTGCTGGGGATTGCATTGCATTCAATGTGTCTGTCTTGTGTGTGTGTGTGTGTGTGAGTGTGTCAGGGAAATGGGGGAGTTGGGGGGATTTACTGGGGGTTTTGGGGGGAGGAGGTGGATTACTGTGGGTGTGTGTGTGTGTGTGTGTGTTGGGGGGTGAGGTATGTCCTGGTTTGATGTGCTGTGAATTGGATCTGCCACTGTGTTCAGTTGTTTCCTTATTTCCACCCCCCACCACCAAAAAAAAACTCATGGCCAAAATATTTTTATGTGTGGATCTGTGTCTGCTTTTGCACACCAGCCTTTCAGTTTGGTGTCCTGTTGTGACAGTGTTCAGCACAGGAGAGGGTAACCCTTGCAGATGGTGAGATATAATAATATTAATGTAATAATCATAGCAACACAGGCGAATGGGTGTGTTGTACACCAGAGAGAGAGAGAGAGAGAGAGACAGAGAGAGAGAAATCCTGCCTCATTTCCTTAAGCAGAGGCATAAGATCTCAACGACAATACTGTGTGGTGTGTGTGTGTGTGTATATAAGAATAAAATAGAACTGATGGTTAAAAAGCAAAGCACTGATCGTATAGAGAGCAGAAAGACTGTATTTTGAGAGCAAGAGATCAGTGCAAACAATCCTTTAGGGTTTCCCTGTTTTGCAAAAGTAAAACCCTAAGGGGCAAAATCATTATTTTTTGCAGTGGAGTTTGGGAGATTATTGCCATAAATACACGTGTATTTATTTTATTTATTTCACTCTTTGCACTCTTACGTGTGTGTGTGTGTGTGTGTGTAGATAGATGTGTGGATGTTCTCTTAATGAATGCAGAGGAGAGTAACGAGTTGAATCGTGTTGTGTTACATTTCACAATGTTTCTAAACTCCCACCCTGTGATTCAGTCAGTGCTTTGGCTGGGAACTGACTGGGTGGTGTGGATCCACTAAGGTTAATTCAGTTCAAGCTCACCAGACATGGACCTAAAACGTGTCCTGTCTCGGGATACCAAAAGTAACATTTGTCACCGTAAATTTGTTCCCCTGGTTCCCTTTTCACCTACAATTGGGTCTGAAATTATTCCGCAATGTGGAGGCGTA